CCTGTCAAGGTCCCTCTGGATGGCATCTCTTGCCTCCAGGATGATGACTGCATCACACAGCTTGGTGTTGTTGGCAAACTTGCTGAGGGTGCAATCGATTCCACTCTCCGTGTCACCAACAAAGATGTTAAACAGTGCCAGTCCCGATACCAATGCCTGAAGAACACCACTTGTCACTGATCTCCACTTGGACATTGAGCTGTTGACTGCAACTCTTTGAGTGCAACCATCCAGCCAATTCCTTATCCACCGGATGATCCATCCATCCAATTGTCTCTGCAATTTAGAGACAAGGATGTCATATGGGACAGTGTCAAATGCTTTGCACAAGTCCAGGTAGATGATGTCAGTTGCTCTTCCATTATCCACCAATGCTGTAACCCCGTTGTAGAAGGCTACCAGATTTGTCAGGCACGATTTGCCCTTAGTGAAGCCATGTTGGCTGTCACCAATCACCTCCTTATTAAGTTGTCAGTGATGAGAGAAGGAGATCCTCCTTGTGGCACTAATTGTATTTTCATATACAAATTATGGTAACGAGTGAAAAACTGCGATTTTCTTAGCCATATCTCTGCATTTTATAGCAGCGTGTAATTAATAGCTGAAATTTAAACCCTATGCTGAGGGCTTGATTTGAATGTTGATACTATCTTTTAGAGCAGCAAGGGAGGAACAACTCTGCAGTTGCCTTAGCTGATTGTTCTTTCTGTCTTGGTAACCTTAAATACTGGCCCATCCTGGCAATCAGGTGCCCCTGAAATAACAGTTGTTCTGATGTTTAGTTCTGTTTGATTCATGTTTAGTGTGTGTCTTTTTAACGAGACCTTTTCTAAACTGTGGTCATGGGACCAGTAAAGCATTTTAGCATTTAATCTAGAAAGAGCTTTTAATAGTACAGAGAGAAATAAAATATAGCTGCTAAGCTTAAAATTCTGATTTCAGACAGAAGAAATGGAGGGACGGGGAGCATATTACCTGAACTAGTGTTTGGACTAAGCTCTGATGCATAAGCTAAATTATTAGTCACCTAATCAGTTACTGAACCATATTTATAAGATGTGACAAACACCTGCATTGTATCAAGAATGTTTACTTGGATAACTTCATAACTATTAAAATACTAGATAGAGAATACTTGCTTAATTACCAAGATGTACCAGATTATACAATCTTTGTATATAATTCTATCTGGTAGTAGGAGCAACATTTTAAAATCTTCCTTCATTGACTTTTTAAAAGAAACATTTATCACAGATAAATTTGCATAGAAGATGCTAGAGTATTTTTGTTACTCAAGTAAAACTGTGCATGGAAGCAGAGAAGAGATAGCAGATCATTGATATAAGTAGAATGATGAGATGAATGGAAGAAATCTGTAATCTGTCTCTTGTAAGTTGACAACCATTTTCTGCTTCAGAAGGTATCCTGGGATGGCCTGGGCCCAAGTCACACTCCACAGAGCAACTGAAGAACGGTGCCCTGAGCTCCTTATCATCTGCTAGTGCCAACATTACATGGGCAATAGTACCATCTGCAGCCCAGGACGGACAGGCGCTACAACCAAATACAGAGGTAGGCATGCTAGGTCTCTGTAGGCCATTTCTCTTGTATCTGAGACTTGACGTTGGTTGAGTACAAACCATATATGATTGTGGATGCTTTTACTAATTACCTATTGTACTTTTTTCTTTAGAGTATCCTATTTGTTTGAAATTAGTTGTGAAAATGCTAAGTTTCATGCAAAAGTGCACTCTAAAAACTAGAAAAATATGTTGACAGTATTGCTGTGTGCTTTTGCTTCTCTGAAGTACTTTGGACAGAGACAGCGGACTACAGCAAGCGTACCGTCTCTTTTCTAGTTGTAAAAGCATTTAACAGACTGTCAGTTTACATTTCTATCTTCTGGTGATAGAAAAAGCGATTTGTTTTTTATGCTCATTTGAGATAGATAGGAGGCACTTAGGACCACAACACTTGCTAGCTACTTGTTCTTCCATGTTGCTGTTTGCTCTTGGGTGTCTCTTGAGTATAGCTGACTATTCTTTGAGTTGAAAAACTGTATTGTTTTCTGACCCCTTTTCCTGTTAAGTGATTATGGGCAGAACTTGTCCACACCATCCTGCACCAGCCTGTTGATTTGTGCTTTTGTGGCATTTACTTGGTAAAGGGCAGTTCTGAAGCATCGACTCTTTGAGGAGGCTCACAGCTACTATCAGGCATCTCATGCACTGAAAGTCTCTCACCATGCCAAACTTCTCCAGCTTCTACTGTCTGCTTCGGTTACCAGTGCTGCCCACCAGGAAAACACTTCATTCTGAGACCCCACAGATTGTAGGGCACCTGGAGCACGCAAGACCTGGAGAACTGGGAAGAAGTTTTTGAGAGAGCTGAAGAAACCCTTTTCTACTAGTGAATGCTCTTTGGCAATTGGAATGGCTTAAATTACATTATATCATATTGCCTTTAACAAACTGTGTAATGACTGGGGACATCAATAAAGCTGTTTGTTTTTCCAGTTCTTTTGTAGTATCTTGAATTGAATATAGTTCAAAAAAAATCCAAGGATAAACCAGATTTTTTTTAATATTATGTGTTACTTTGGTCCTCTTCCAGATCTGTCCTTAGACAGTAATTTCAAATTCTATTACTTCTAGTGTCCATTCATCACAATGTTTAAATTACCTGTAATTGCTTTTTATTAGGAAGTTGTGTAATTTCTTTTTCAGATAAGCCAACTGCAGTTCTTACAGTGTGTTTTTAAGACAAGAGGCTATTTTAAGAATATTGTTTTGGGAGTTACTACTTTACTCACCGATGCACTGCGATTTGTTTCATTAGTCTTTTTTTAATGGTTTTGGAAGCCTGGGCTTTGCAGCAAGAACATAAAGACCAGCAGCTGATTTAACTAATCTCAGGATATCATTTTGCAGTTGAATTGAGCCATTTATGACTTGTTTTAAATGACACTTTTTAAAAAAGTCCAATCTCCTCCCCTTTGCTTGCTGATGAGAGATACTGAGTTGCCCGAGTGGCTTGAGGTACTGTCTTGCTTATGGAACTCATGATTTATTGAGAAGGGAGTACCCTTGAAGAGATGTATATAAACAAGGGAGCATCGCCCTGTTTGTAGTACAGAATCCTCAGTGCTTTGTGGGCAATCTTCCTGAAAGCAGCAGCCTGCGTTTGGAGGCCCTGGGGCACTAACCCTTAAAAAAGAAGAAGAAAGTGGGGTGAAAAAGAGACTAAATAAGATTTTTTTTAAGTTATAAAAAGCTCAGCTGAAGATGGTGGTTTTGGCAGAAGCAGTAAGTGGACATTTATGGATTGGTGGAGCAAGAAGAAGCAGCTGGACTCAGGCATGTAATTTTTGTTATGGTAGCACACTTTATTAAGCAGAAATTTGGTTTTGCCCCAAGAAAGTGGCCTGAATCAGGATTCATTCCTGGAAGCTCTTTCCAAATCTGCGTTTTCCCTTCCACTGAGTCTGTGTGCTTCATGTTGTCTGAGATTGATAGTGTTGGCTCACAATTTGAAGTGCTCTTTTAAGTGCAGCAGATACATTTTTCAGTTTTGATCATTTTGATGAAGATATCAGTGCCCCATTGGAAGGCTGAAGCACAAAACCTGAATTGTGGAAGAGGTGAACAGTTGCATCTAACATAAGTTGGAGCTTTTGTGTTTCTGTATTCATCTTCAGATCAAGAAAGTTGTCATGCTGTGTTACGGAGGCTACACCTCTCGGCTGCTGTGGTCAGGTCCTTTTCTGGGAGAGGAGGTGAAGTTTTCCTGGAGTACTGCAGGGTCTGCCCAGCCATCCAAGCTGAGCAAAGTGTCAAACAGGAAGCTGGAGCTTCTTCTTGTGACTGGAGCAAGGAGGGTGGGAGAACAGGTTTTGAAGAAAAGTCTTTTGAGCAACATAACTGTTAAGGATGCTATCTAAGCCAGGTAGTCACCCAGGAGATGGTATCTGACACCCCCCAAAGTTATCAAAGGTGTTTGACTTCTCACTCTTTAACAATTCTGTGTGCAGGGTTTAAGCATATTTTAAAAACATATTCTGGCCTGTTGTGTGTCCAAAGCAGAAGCCTAGGTTTGGCACTGAGTAGCCGGTTTATTTTCAAAGATATAAAAGCACTGACTGTGCTAATTACTGCAAATCATTACACTCCACTTGTTTCCTAGTCCAGATACATTGTTGTTATTAACTGTGGTGGTATCAGCAGAGAATGAGAAAATGCACCTAGATGTCATTGTTTGACAAATTTTTGACATTTAAGACCCTGATTTCTTTTTTTATTTATATGATGGCTTCTTTTAAATGTAGAAGAAAAGAGGAATCCACAAGTGTCATTCAAATAAAGCTTATTTCTCTTAATGATTTTCTTTAAAAACAAAACAAAACCAAAACCAACCAAACTAGGCACTGGATGATCCTCATTTCCGAAGAAGCTGATAGTGTATTAATGGGGCTCAGCTTTCAAAATATACCTGCCAAAAGAAGGGAGACTTGCTTTTACAGAAGTCATGAGAAGAGAGTGCTGGTTTCTCTGTTGGTGCTATCAAAATTAATTCCAATTTCTTCTTTGACTGGGCCTAGATTTTTATTTTAAAAATTCTGTACTTTTTATGATATAACCTCTGTCTCCTAGAAGCTATACCCCAAAGGAACGGGAGAGAGCTTTTTGGCTAACGCTCGGCATAATACAGTAGATGTACCAACCAAACAAATTGTGAATTGACCTGTAGTCTGAAATAGAAAAAGCCATTAAATTACTACCCTTGAGGAACAAACCGACTCAGCTGCTTATGTTATAGAATGTTATTTATAAGGAAAAGATAATTCTAGGTACGTGGATCAGCAATGATTTTTAAAAAGAAAACAGAGATGATTGTTACGTTGGTGAGGAGGGGGATGACTGCTGAGGAATCCTTCCCATATAGCCGGCTGCCCCTGGCAGCAGTTTTCTGGCAACATGACCAAGTGGCTGAATGTGTTTAGTGACAGCTGTGTTAATTCTCAGCACTGCATGTAGATACTTTGCAGCAGTGTATTAAGCAACGTCATTAACAAAGCAATGACTTGTCCTCTGCTGTGTTTTTAATATGTTTATGAAGAAGCATGGATCTTTATAATTCTCCTCTGGAATAACAAGGCTCATCTGATGTAATTTTCTTTGAATACTTTAGCATTCTTGAGGGATATAGTAAGTTCTGGAGTTGAGTTTTGATGCCATAGATAACTAAACCCTTTCTTTTTGGTCTGTCACACTGTCAGGGTTTCAGGAATGCAGCTGAAGATTCTTCTCTTTAGATAATGTGTTGGTGTTTAGTTGCTTTTGTTATTCAGGGTGTTTCTTGCTCCAAACTGCAGGGATATCATTTGACATATTGCTTAAACTAGTTCAGAAAATAAAGATTTTGTGGCAGAGGTTATTTTCTTGCCTATTTTAGCATGTCTTTCTTGATGTTGCTGTTTCATCTTCCTAGGTGGGTTTTGTTTAGGGTTGTGATGTAGGACAGCATTAAGTTAAAGCCTGTTATCTTCACTGAAAGAAGTAACTCCTGACAGGGTAACGCTGGATCAAGCACTTTTATTTTCTAATTTTTTTTTTTTATTTTTTTTTTCCATAAGCCTCCAAGTTTTAGTTAGTTTTCCTGTTTGGACTTTTTTGGTCTGTCCTCCTGAAACATCAGATAGAAGCAGGGATGAAGACTGAGCTGAACAGAACTGTTCTCCATCTGATGTGAGTTGATGTAAAATACTTTTGTGCACCTCCTAGTAAACCACTTTGGACTTTTTGGTGTAAGCTATGTTATAATTTCAAGGTATTATTTAGGGTTTTTCCCTTAAAGCAGAACAGTGCAAATCTGGTGTGGAATATGCAGACTACACTCTGCAGAGCTGTGATGTGAACTTGATCTGTGTCCAGTGTGCAGTAAACAGGCCCCTGCTTCCTTCATTTAGGGGTTTATAATTTTGAAATTCCTTTCAAGAAATGCAGAAATTGATTAAAGTATTGAGTCTCATAGTAAATTCAGTTATAATAAACACAGTGCCTAAGTAGAATAAAGGTGTGAATCGCTTCCATGTGTGAGTTACTGTTCCAGTTCAACTAATTGTCATTTTGGGTGTCAGAATTCCCCTTCTGAGCTGACAAAATGTAACCGTAGGCCAAATCCTTCCCCTGGCAGCCAAATACAAATGGGAAGCAGACTGGTTTTATGTGGGACCTGAGAGGGGAGGAATAATTTTCTTTTGATCTAACAGTTAAGAATTATTACAAAAATCATGCTGTAGCTACATCTGCGACTTAGCTCTCTTCATGTGATTTTTATGGCTTAAAATACCATGCCAGCTCATTCTTTCCATCCTCTGGATCTGGTAGCTATGCAATCTCTCTGCTTTCCTCTCCCTAACTTTCCTTTGCTTGTGCGCATAAGAGACTGTACACATGTTCCATATTCAAGTGTCTTTTTAATAGGATTGAAGTTTTAGCTCTGTAGGATTGAGGCTTTAGCTCTGATTATCTAACTGCTAAACCAGGTTTTAATTGTGATAGTGATTGCAAGGG